GGCAGGTGGGCAGTGGGCGGGGCCGGCCTCCGCCGCGCCCGGGAGCCGGGCCCATCCCCCAGGACGGCCGGGCGGGGGACGTTTGGACTCTGCCCCGAGGGCCTGGGTTGCCGCTGCAGGGCCAGGCTTGCTGCGTCTTTAGCAGGTGCGACCTTAGGGAAGGAGCTAGAAAGTGGGGGTACGCCTCTTACAACTGGCCTCGCGGGGGGTACTGACAAGCGCCCCGACTCCACTTCTCTTGCTTATTTTAGGGAAGTCAGAGAGTTCTGAGAACTGTGAGTGAGGTCACATCCCTCCTCTGCAGAGCACCCTCCCTCCCCCGGGGTGGCTTCCGGCTCACTCAGGGCAAAGCTAAAGTTGTCCGGCGGGACCTCCCTAGACCCTGCAGGATGCGCCCCTCATCTTTCTGGCCTCAGCTCCTGGGTATCCTCCCCCAAACTTGCTTTCTGTACCGGCCACTGGGCTCCTCAGGGCCTTTGCACTGGCTCTTTGCTCTGCCAGGGTTGTTCCCGAGACCCACAGGACTCCGCCCTCACCACCTGCTCCTGTCTCCCAAATGTCACGTTCCCTGTGAGGCCTTCTCTAGTCATCCCTTTTGAATAGCAAAGCTCACCCTCATCAGTTCCCTGATTTTCTCCAAGTGTTTATCACCACCTGGCATACTGTACCTTTCCATATTTTTGTGTGTCAGTTTTCCCTCATAATTATACTTCAAGAGAACACGACTTGTTGCTTTTTGTTTTGTTTTTTGGGGGACAAGATCTCACTATGTAGTTCAGGCTGGCCTTGAACTCATCATGGGGATCCTGCAGCCTCAGCCTCCCAAGTGCTGGGATAACAGGCGTGCATTACCACACTTGGCTATAGCAAGTACTTTTTTGGTTTTTTGTTTGGTACCTGGAATCGAACTCATGACCTCGCACTTGCTAGGCAGGTGCTGTGCCGCTGAGCTATATCCCTGGGCCAGCAAATAGTTTTTGAGCACCTACCTGTGCCCAGGACCTTTCTAGGCACTAGGTGGGTGGGCAGCTGGGCAAAGCACATCATCACCCCTCCTCTCCATGAAAGGGTAAGAAATAATTCGGGACTGCAAGGGCACTGCTAAGAAAATCAAACAGGATGTGATGGAGTTTTGGAGCCTCTGGGCATGTTGGGCTAGGAAAGGCAAGGGACACTGGGATTGAAACTAGCAGGGAAATGGCCTCCGGGAAGACTTCGCAGCAAAGGCAAAGGACCCAGAGTGGAAATGTGTTGATTCCTAGGAGCCCAGCATGGCTAGAGTTGCTTGGGGAGAAGAGCAGGATCTCCAGCTAGGGAAGTTGTCAGGACCATGAGTAAATCAGACTTTGGTGCAGTTGGGATTTTTTGTTTAGCTTAGTTTTGGTTTTTTCTTTTTTTTTTTTTTTTACCTTTTTGAGACAGGGTCTCGCTATGCAGTGCAGGCTGGCCTTGAGCTCACTTTGTAGCTAGGCTGATCTCGAACTTGCAGCGATCCTTCTGCCTCAGCCTCCTGAGTGCTGGGATTACACGTGTGCGCCACCATGCCCGGCTGTTTTTTGAGTCAGTTGTATAGTTCAGGCTGCCCCTGAACTAACTATATAGCCCAGGCTGGCCTCAAACTCATGATCCTTCTGCCTCAGCCTCCCCCAATGCTGGGATTACAGGAACGCACCACCACACCTGGCTTGCAGTTGGAGGTTTATGGAGGGGCAAGAATTTGCTGGAGGGGCCAGTGTTCGCTCTCTCATGTGGTCCACTCTCACGCTGTAGGAGGTACTTCTTTTCCTACTTTTACTTGGCCCAAACTCGCTCTGCAGAGCCTGTTTTTTTTTCCTACCGCTACTAAAATTCTGCTGTTAAAAAAAAAAAAAGAAAAAAAAAGTGATTCAAATGGCATCCATCTTGGAATGCAAGCCTTACTGTGCTTTTTTCCCAGTACTGGGGATTGAACTCAGGGACTTTGTACAGAGCTATATCCTCACCTCCAGCCCCTTTTTCTTTTGAGATAGGGGCTCACTGGGCTTGAATTTGTAATCTTCCTGCTTCAGCATCTCAGAGTGCTGAGATTACAGGTCTGTCCCACCATACTGGGGTTCCAACAAGACTCTTCTTTTTCTGGTGTTTTTGAGACTGTGTCTTCCATCTGGTTCAGGCTGGCCTTAAACTCACTGTGTAGCTTAGGCTGGCCTCAAACTCAAGGCAGTCCTCCTGTCTCAGCCATCCAAGTGCTGGGATTACAGGCGTGTGCCACCATAGCTAGTAGGTGGGACTCTTAATGAGGGCTCAGTACTGTCATGTCAAGCGTTTATACCTGTCCCACCTTCGGCAGGGAGAAGGTGCAGGTATCTAGGCAACTTACCAGGTCCCTCCCATCACCCTAGTGAACATTAGCAACTTAATGCAACATCATTCCTTCCAAAATACTTTTATTTAAAAAAACTTATAAACAAACAAACACACAAAGCCACCACAAACCCTGCCTTTATTTAAATAATGCGGCATGGAGCAGTTTGGTTTCCACTCTATTGCACGTGGTCCGGCCTGGTAATGAATCAGGAGGATGCTGGGACTGGGGTCCTGCCAAGGAACTGGGGTGTGGAGGAGACCGGCCCCTCCCTTTCCCTCAAGAGACAAGAGCCTGGGTTTCCAGAGCAACCTGGCAGCACACCCTTGTCAACCTCTTAACAGGCCCAGCTCCATCTTCCCTGAGGCCCCAGTGGTCAAAAGGGTAGTGGGAACTGGAGGGAGAAGGCGGAAGAAATGTGTGAGAACTCAGACTCCCAGAAACGGAGCCCCTTTAAGGCATTTGGAACAGATAAATTAAATCAGGAAGATCCACCTTCACAGAAGGCTGGGGTAACCAGACACACACATGCAAGACAGTTTGTGGAACCCTGAAATGGGAGGAAAGGAGGCCAGTCACTATTCAGAGCCCCCACCAACACACACACACACACACACACACACACACACACACTCAAGAGCTGCATCCATGGATCTAGTCCATCATGGCTGATATGAGGAAGGACCTCCTCCATCACGTTTAGGACCCCAGAATGATTTCCATGATGTGATCGAGTTCATTCCACTCCCAGGATCCTGGGGCACAGAAGAGGCTGTGTGGAGGCTCCAGAGGGGCCAGTGCAGGCTCCTTTTCTACTGCAGAGGTGTCAATGTCCAGAAAGAAGTCATCCAGGCCAGAGTCCCCCAAGTACCGGGAGCTCAGGGTTTCTAAGAAGACTGGATCAGGCTGGGGCAGCACTTCGTTTTGGAGGCCTGGGGAAGCCACTGGATTCTGCGGTGCTTCTGTCTCATCCATGGAGGTCTCCAGCTCCCTGAGGATGGAGCCAATGGTGGCAGACAGGGAAAAATCCTCCTCACCCAAGAAGAGGGGCTCAGGGGGCAGGGCAGGTGCTGGAGCCATGCGTATGGAGGCCTGGAGCTGCTGCAGGGTGTTGTGGATGAGGACATGCCTGAGGAGGCTGGGTGCTCGGGGACCCAGGCTGCGCTGCTGGACTTTGTCCAGGGAGATGCGCAGCAGGGCTTGCTGGTAGTTCCGAAGACCTGCTGGGCTCCAGTCCCACTTCCCATCTTCCTCCTCCTCCTCTTCCAAATCAGAGTGTTTCCTCTTCAAGCCTCCCACCATGATGCCCTAGGAAGAGAAGAGGGGGAAGTGGGATACAGGGCCATTCACATCCCATTTTCTTAGGCAAGACTATATAGCTGTAGGTGATTTTTTAACTACGAGAACTTCTGTTTATTCATCTATAGAAAATGCAGATAGTCTGAACCTTACAGTCTGGAGAGGTGAGTAAATACATGTGATCAAGAAAACAAGACGTAGCCGGGGGTGGTGGTGCACACCTGTAATCTCAGTACTTTGGGAGGCTGAGGTAGGAAGATCACAAGTTCAAACCCAGCCGGGACAACTCAGTAAGTTATCAGGAGCTTGTCTCAGAATAAAAATAGGAGGGCAGGGGTTGTAGGTCAGGACCAAGGCCCTGGGTTCGATCCCCAGTAGCAAAAAAAGTAACAAAAGAAAAGAAAAAAAGTAAAGTGTGAAGCTCTGAGTTTGATCCTCAGTACTAAAGAAAAACAAAACAAAGAGCAAGATGTGGAGTACACAGCTGGGCTTTTAAAGCCCTCTCTTTTGCCTTTTGTGGTCTTAAATAGTGAACTGACATCCATGAGACTCAATCTCATTTGCAAAGTAAGGATCCTAACTCAAGTCCCTGAGTCTTAAAACTGTTCCTCCACAATACTCATTTCTTCAAACACATCACCCAAGAGACAGGTGTAGAGTAGAGACCTGGGCCAGAAGAAGGGAATCATTGGTTTAAATTCTGTCTTGGACACTGCTCAGCTGTGTGATCTTGGCCAGTGACATGACATCACCTATCTGGGCCTGTTTCTCTCATCTGTAAAATGGAGATTGTAAAAATTACTTCGCACAGCATCCTAAGAAGCCACGTTTAACATCCACAGGGCACAGCACACAGCAAGTGCTTAATGAACACACGTTAATCGTCTTTTATTCATTCAGTAGCTTTATTTATTGAGTGTCTTAATATATTCGTGCCACCTGGCGCCCTCTTAAGAGCACCTATTCATCGAGGCGTCGAGGCACTTCTTTATAGGGAAGACTTTTCTTTTACTGAGAAGATATTTCTGTCCCTGCTCTCTTCCTTAACCGAGTGCGAGAGCTCCCAAGAGCAGGGAAGGGGCCTTCCTCATTCCTTCCATCCAATCCTTCAGCTTCCCCCAAAGAGCGCCCCATAAAAAACTTGCTAGAACGCAACAAACGCCAAGCCCCGCCCCTTCCAACCATTCGTTACAATTCCTCTGGCCCCGCCCTTCCCTGGGTTCTCCATTCACCATCAGGAAAGCCCCAATGTGGCCCTAGGGCTTCTGGGAAGTGTGGACCTATAGCGGCAAAATACACACACCTAAGTGGAGCAGGCACTACAATCCCCAGAGGGCTCCACTAGCTACCGGCGAGGATCTCCCCGCCCTCCCTTCGGGCATGCGCACAGGGGCCCCGGCTGGTGGGGGCAGGGAACCCGGACGTCCAGCTGCCGGGCGCCCGCAGAGCCCCGCCTTCTGTCGCCTCCCCGGCCGCGGATCTGAGCTCCACACCCGGAGCACCCCTCCCCCACCCGACTCCAGCCCTAAATCTGCTTTCTTTTCCCTAGGACCCCAGAAAATCTGAGATTCTTCCCCAAACTTCCCTCGGGTCCACAGAGCTAAGCCCTAACACCTCGTTCTAACCCGACAAATGTTCCCCCATCCTCCCCGATGGGGAGACAGTACTGGTATCTCTAATAAGGACCCCCCCCCCATACCCACTAACTCCTATTTTCTATTTCCAAACGCTTCTGGACTTCACTTCTAAACTCTCGTCTGGCTCCAAAGCCCGAATCCTGAACTTTCCCCGGCACCCTCTCTCTGTCGCGGCATCTCGGAGTCAAAGATTCCTGACTCTGGTTCTCTTGGTTTCTCCAAATGTTCGGGACCCACAACACTATGAACCCCCAAATTGTTTTAACCATCAGATTCCCTGCCCCAAAAGTTCCTTCCCCCGCTTCTTTCGCTTCTTCAAACAGCCCGTGTCTCCGCTTCAAGCTCCTTCCACCGGATCGTCCTGCCTCTTCTCCCGCACAGGACCTCGGACTCTGCCTCGGCCCCGACTCCAAACCATCCACCCTCACCCTTCATCTGCGCCCTCCACTCCCTCCCAGACTCCGCCTCCGCCAATCTCGGGGCGCGCCTCCACCGCTCCCCCACCCAAGGTTAATCCCCAGACAGGTGGCCACTCCTACCTCAGCGGCCAGGTTCGCAGCGACCACCTCCCGGAACGCCTGCAGCGTCGCGACCCACCAGGGCTGGGTAAGAGCCTCGCTCGCTTCCCCCGGGCCTCTCAGTCTGGCCTCTGGCCACCTAGCTCCGCCCCGGAGCCGAGCCGCGGATCGCGATTGGCTGGAGTCTTGCCCGCGGCGGAGCGCCTATTGGCTGGGCGGAGCTACGGCTGGACGCCAGGCGCCCGCGACTCGCCCTCTTCTCCCTGCGCCCGGGACCATTTAAAGGTTTGCGACGCGTCGGGGCCCGCGTTACGTCTCCAGGGTGGAGAGTGGCGGGCAGTCAGAGCCTCTTCCTTCGACTCAGCTACAGACCTTGCTCGGACTTCGTCAGGACTGCTTTCTGCGTCCCCTTTACACCAGTATTGGACCACGTCGCGAACCAAGACCAGCTGCCTTGGCCCTCCTCCCCCAGACCGCTCCCCGGGTGGGCGGGGCTGAGCCACTAGCGTTCTGAGAGGGTGACGCAGCTAAAGGCTAGCCAATTGCTTGGCGCGGCCTGTGTTGCCTGGGAGACCGCAGCCCAGTCCCTTGCTCCCCACCCCCGCGCTAGAAGGCGCGGCCCCTTGTTAATCCTAAAGGCTTGCACACAGGGCTTGCGGGTGACCCTTCTTCGGTCCCCCGACATCCCATCCTGCCACTCTTAGGGAGGATGGCCTTTGTTCAGACTCTTTACGTTTGCCACAAACCCCTTCGCTATCTGGCCCGTCTCATTTCTCCTTGCTTTCTAATGGGCATTAAGTTTTTCTAAATTTTTTCTTTTTGAAAGACAGGGTGTCGGTCGGGCTTGGTGGCGCACACCTGTAACCCCAGCACTCGGGGGGCTGAAGCAGGAGGATCGTTGCGAGTTCGAGACCAGTCTGCGCTACAAAGTGAGTCTAAGGCCAGCGTGAACTGCATATCGAGACCGCATCTCAAAAAAGGCAAAATAAATAAATAAATAAAGACAAGGTGTCTGTGTAGTTCAGGCTGGTCTTTAACTCCCAATCGAGCTTAAGCTGGCCTCGAACTCGCAACGATCCTCCTGCCTCAGCCTTCTAACCGCTGGGATTTAGAGCCGAGTGCCACCGCTTCTGGCTATGGTAGAGCATTCTGGAAAAACTGAAAATATAAAGCTGGGTGTGGTGGCACACACCTGTAATCCCCACACTCAGGAGGGTGAGGCAGGAGGATCCCGGAGAGTTTGAGGCCAGTCTGAACTACAAAGAGAGAATGTCTTTAAAAAAATAAAAACGAGGGGCTGGGGATTTAGCTCAGCGGCACAGCGCCTGCCTGGCAAGTGCAAGGTTGTGTTGAGTTCAATTCCTGGTACCGGAAGAAAAACAACAACAACAAAAAAAACCAAAAATAAATAAATAAATAAATTAAAAAAAAAAAAAAAAAAAAAAACCTCTGCAAAACCTCCACACACACATCCCCCTCCAGAACACCAAGATTTTTTCTTCGGTGCCTTATCCTCAGCCCCTAAAATAAGGCCAAGCAAGCACTCAGAACTGAGAATGAACTGCCTCTGGGTCTTAAACTTGTTTTCTCATCCTAAAAATGTCCCTTCCATTCCTAGGTTGCCCTGTGTGGGACTCTATCTCCAAGGCGTTCCTTCTCCCGGAAACCCTTCCTGGGTTAGGACCCATTCTGGGCTTCTGTTGCCTGTGGGGCCTAAGGCAGTCACTATCTGGACTTTGGATCCCCTGAGGACAGGCTGTCTCAGTCCCCTGTTGCTTGTTCTCGGAGCACCTAGCACAGGGCTGGACACAGAGCAAGTGCTCAGTGAAAATTAGTTAAATGCTCAATGTGGCAGACAAATTGAGAGGGCCAAGATTTTTTTTTTTGTCTTTTTGAGACAGGGTCTCAATATGCAGCTCAGGCTGGCCTTGAGCTCACTTTGTAGCCCAGGCTGGTCTCGGACTCGCTTTGATCCTCCTACCTCAGCCTCCCAAGTGCTGGGATTACAGGCGTGCCACCACGCCCTGCTAAGAGGGCCAAGATTAAACACTGGTGTCCTAGGAGTCCACCCCAGCAGTGCCCAGCCTCAGCCCCTAACAAGTGTTCCCTAAGGGGAGAGAGAGGTGGTGGCTTCTCCATCTACACCTGGAAAGAGGAAGTTCCTGTTTTTGTTTTTTTGTAGTGCTAGGATGGTACCAGGGGCCTTGAACTTGCTAGGCAAGTAAGTGCTGTACCGCTGAGTTACACCCCAGCCAAGGAGGGAGGAGGCTTCCGGAAGGTTCACTCGGGACTTCTGGGCTGCTTCTGTCCCCCTGTGCTCCCCAAGGCCCCCACCTTGGTCTGGCTCTCCCAGCTTCCACTCTTGTCTCCCTCTGATGCCCCTTTACCCAATAGTCAAGGGGAGCTTTTTATGTATGTATGTATTTATTTATTTATTGTCTTTTTTTTTTTTTTT